CCACAGGAATTTCTTTCTATACCCTTGTCATAAATTGTTTTGAAGCAGATGTGTTTATTAATTGGGTCTAATAATGACTGTAATTTATTGTGTCTCTACTGCCTTTGAGTTTATTCACTCTAAAGTCATTGTTTTATGGAGTGCTCCTCTTGAAGGGTAGGCTTGGTGGTACTCTGCCTTACAAATAACTGATATTCTGAAGTCTGTCAGTTCCGGTTCAGGACCACTAACATCTGATAGTAAGGATCAGCTGAATTGGGTCCAACTGTTTCAATACTGAAGTACAGTAAATTTGCTGTATTTTCCATAGGAGTTTGAGCAGGGGTTTGAGCTTTTAAACTTCTGAGTTTTCACTAGAACTGTGGATAATTTTATTTTCAAGAGCAATAAAAGCCTGGTTGGCTCAGATGACATTCTTTGAACAGCATTCATGCAATAGCAGCTTATGCATATTTGTTTAAGAAGGCAGTTGATATTTTAGGGTTATGACAAAATATCTCTTCTTAAATACATCCTTTTAGAAAAATGGCTGTATTGTGCTCACAACCTCAACCTGAAAGCTTTTATTATTAAGTTCTTACACAACTAATGATTAGTAGGAATACTTCTGCAACTTTGCTTTTACCTTATTGTCAGTGATGATATTTGATTTGAAACATGAATGTTCTCAGCTTAGTTGCATCCTTGTTCCTTTCCTCCTCTCTGCTGCAGTCTTTGGTGAGTGTGTTGATTTCCACCTATTCCCTGAATCTTTCATCAATATACCATTTTCTGCACCCAGATGTTTATGTACTAAAACAGATTGTGGGGTTTTGCCATTTCCCTGGGTAACATTATGACATCTGCATTTAGTTTTTTGCTGCTGCTGTTTGTTTTTAAGTGTGTGCTGCCATCTATGGAGTAATCATTGAAATAAAGCTGATCTAAAATTGCTTTTTACCAAAAGACTACAGAAAACAAGATACAGCTAGCAGAGGAGGTTTCATAGAGCAGTTGGCCAGATCTCAAGAAACCCTGTTCCTCTGTCTCAGATCTCACAGCAAGCACAGGTGAAAATCAGTTTCTGGGAGTTTTCAGTGATTCTGTATATGCTGGAAAAGAACTGTCAGGACAGTCTGAAAATTAGAATAAGGTTGCTTTGTCTTTTAATCCTGTAACTCATTTGTTTTCCTTCTCCGTTACCTTTCACATCCTTCAATCCTTCAGCAGTTTCCAAGATGTTTATTATATCTTTCTTCATTTGTTTTTTAAGGCTTAATTTTAATTCCTTATTCTTTCCTAGCATCTTGTCCGCTGGCTTTCTGCTTCTATGTCCAGTTCCCGCATGCCAGGTTCCGGGTTTCCCTCCTTCAGATCCCTTCAGAATGCAAGAAGATCAGTCCTCATTCTCTCTTCCATAACATGTGCTTGCTTTATATCTATTTTTGAGTATACATTTATTGCAATACGTTTATTCAAGTGGGCCTGGAAAGTACTTGGAGAAGTCATTTTCTCTGTACTGGGGTGTCTGTGCATGCAAAAAGCTATCAGGTTTTATCTTGATAATGCTCATATGCTTTTCAGCTTGCAGAATTGACTGAGGATTCTAATGTCTTACAGTCTTGAACAGGGTAGGTATATGAATTCCTAGCAATCAGACTTCATTTCAGTTAGGAGGTGTGACATGGAACAACTATGTCTTTAGCTGCTTCCTCAGCAAAACAAATGCTGGAATGGGTGTATATTTAACCGCTATTGCTTAAATACTTTCTTCTAAAACAAGGTATTAGACTCAAAAGGAAAAGTTTAACCTATATGGATGAAGCGTTCTTAAAAATACCTTCTGACATTTTCTTCTTATTGCTGAACTTAGAAATTGATCTTATTTTCCAGCATCAGAGACAAAATGAAGAGAAAGAAATCAATGTTCTTCAAAACAGACTTAATAAGATAAAAATCAATGCAGCTGTATGATTTACCATTTTTTTAGCACCGGTATAATTCAAACATGGTAATATTTGATTCTTAAGTTAAATGAAAATATTTCAGTTGCCTCCTACAGAGGCAGACAAAACCTTAAGAAGGAGGGATTTATTTCGTTAAACTTTGGTTTCTGTTTTAATCCTAATTTTGGAACTTTGAGATCTGCAGAAACTGAAAACAGTTTCATATTTTAAGTGCCAGTATATAATTGTTCCTTTAATCACAGAGACTTAAATAGAACAAATTATTACTTGTATTTGCAAATTACAAGCTCTGATCCTCCCTTCCTCCTGCAAATAGCAGTTCCGTCTTGCTTAGTTGAAAGATCTGTACTCAAAAGTTTGAAGATCAGCTTGGGCGCCTCATTTCCCCCATGGCAGACTCACAGTGCTTTGAAAGTAAAGCCTTACTTAGCAAATGCATTGGCTGATTACTCTTTTTTGGCAAAAAAAGAATGTGTTAGTTGGGGTTTTTGGTTGGTTGGTTGCGGTTTTTTGCCAGTGTTCATTCCCCTTTTCTGCCCCCACCATCTCAATAACATTAAGATCCCTTATTGATTTATTTAAGGAAAAGTCTTTAAAAGTGCCTTGTGTACTATCAGTGACCCAGTCTCTAAACCACAAGCTTGGCTTAACAGTTGAGAGTGGGTTTTAACAAATAATTGGCATCTTAATATTTAAATTCCTGTTTACTTGCTGCCTTGGGTTTAGCCCTTTGGGCTTCTGGTTTGAAATTTCTTAACTGAGGGCTAGAAAACGTCTTTTTAGGGAAGAAAGTCAGGATTCTCACATAATTACCGGCATGTGTGAACTGGGACTTTAGGGAAGCGTTAGACACTGAAAAAGTTCTGATAAAATCCTCCATATTAGCAAGCATCTCGTAATGACATCTTTTGGTTTAAAGGTTTATTTCATGAGCACAGAAAGACAGCTTTCTGCATAAATTTCTACTGAATTAAATTCCAATCTGTAAACTGGGCTGGAATGTCGTAAGATGGGAAATGCAAACCCAGTGGTAGGTTTTGAATTTGTATGTCCAAAAATGGACAGGTTTTGCATACATAGGTCTTAATCAGATTTTTTTCTGCCCAGTTACTTTTACTTCTTTTTCATATTCCTTTACTAATTGATAAATGTAGTGAGTTTGTTTCCTCAAGCAGCTCTGAGCAGCTGTGTGTATATCCATTGGGAACAGACAGTCCCACCCCTTCATTCTCTTCATCATCAGCTTCATTATAGACCATATCTGCAATCACATAACAAGAGACCTTGCACTTCTACCTCTCCTTTCATCCTCCCTCTGTACTGCGAGAGAGAAGTAGCATACCATATTGCACAGCTGAAAGGTTATCAAGCCTGAATTTGTTACACCTCTGGATCTGGCAGGCAAGTGTTCACAACCACTTTAGAAATACATGGTTCATCTCCACATGAACCTGGACATCCTGAGAAGGTACTTGATATTGGATTGGTTTTCTTGTTGCTCTGCAGACAGACAGGCTTAAGTTATGCAGTCTGTTACTCCCTAATTTACAGCTTTTCCAAGGTTCATTTGTTAACTGAGAGCATGACATGTATTGAAGTTGTTTCTTCATAATACATTTGGCATTAACAGGAGAAGCTGTCGAACCCTCAGACAGCAACAGCTCAGCAACAAGATATTTTGCTTCCAGTTTTGACTTTCTAACTAGTGGCTTCGTATTTGCAAGGGCATTTGGAATGAACATGTGACAGAGCAGGGTGTAATTAAAAAAGCTTAAATACATTTTCCAGACTAGAATTGTGAAGCAGTATTTTTGCTGCTTGGGATATTTACCTGAGTTATATAGTTCAACTGTTCTTCATTCTTTTGCTGTGAAACCCAGGCATCCTGCTTAACAAACTACTTGCTAAATAGTCATTGTGTTTCAGAGACTTATTTTATTTTGGTAGACGATTAACTGGGCACATCTGATTTTATTTATAGTGGTGCAGAGTATGTGTTTAAAAGGCACGCTCAAGGGTTTAACTTGCCTGTGCATCCAGAAGAGAATAAAATGAAACCCCAGCAAAACCTCTGTTCAAAGAAACATTCCTGCAGGTGAAGCTCATGTTTGTTGGAAAGAAATTACCTGTGTAGAAAAGACCAGAGGATGATTTCTTCACCGATCTTGTCACTGTTTTGCCTTTGCTGTTTTCCTGTAGCTAGTTTTCATAAAACACTTTCTTAGAACACAAATTGTGCCAGATCTGTATCATTCAGCTTCTTTTCCCCCTTTTTATTCTGTAAAAGATTTTCACTCTACTCTTCCTTGCAACTGTTCCCATGCTGGTACCTGGCAAGATGTTCACACATCTTGGTGTGAACTTGAGCTTGGTCACTAATTTGTCATCATGAAGAGCTGCTGCTTCTCCTCCACCTCATGAACTCAATAGTTAGAAGATAAATTTAGCTTACATGTACAAAAAAATGTGTTGTAATTTTACTTTGTTGTTCTTATGTAGTGTAACCATGCTCCTTTAAATATTTAGGTCAATTTCTCTAGCACCTGATTAAGTTTCTGCATGTATTCTTTCTTTTGGGAAGAGTATATGCCTGGAGAAACACATGAATTTTTACAGATGCTGTCAAAACAATGAAGGAGTTTCAGTGGTGCTTTGACTAGCATTATTTAGGAAGTGAAACAGCTGTTTAGATGAGGGAAGAAAATGAGCGACTGGGTTAGGATGCCTTCATTTCACAGGGACAAAGAGCCTAGCTTTGACAGAAGTGCTTCTTTCAAAAATACCAGGGAAGAATGAGTGAAGCTAGATTCTGCTTAGAAAAGCCTAGACACAAACTTTTTGAAAGCCCTGAGGTCTGCAGCCTAAGCACACGTGTCTCCTCCCTCAGTAAACATCAGTGACCTGTATTCCTGCAGCCAAATATTCCTGAGCCTTTGTGGGATATTCTGGACGTGTCTCCATCCAAGTGTTTTCTAGTTCGCTTGCAAGGTCTGTTGGCAAATGCAGTTTGGGTCCCTGGTGAGCACTGACTCCAAAGGCCCTTCTGTCTTTCAGGGCAAGCACAAGCTGCATGTGGACACGGGACTGGAAGGTGACTGGTGTGGCCTCATCCCCATTGGGAACCCCTGCGAGAGTGTGACCACTACAGGCCTCAAGTGGAACCTCAGTAAGTCAGACACCTCAGGGATAGTGGGTTTGATGTTATCCTAAAGGCATGTTTACACCATCCTCACCACTGCAGAAGGGCCTGATGTGTTTGAAGGTGGAACATGGCATTGTATCCCTGCCAGGCCATTTTTTATTTAGAAGTGAAGGGGGTTTTGGAAAAAATACAAAAGAAATACATTTCTACCTGAGATGGCACAGGCAGAAACATGTTTTCCATTTGGGAGTCATTGTGCTGTTTAAATAGAACATTTGTTGAGGTCATGATACATTACCATCTTGATACATTGCCCTCTAGGGAGGGGAAGCTGTGAGTGTCTAAACTGGTTATTAGCTATAAAGTTACAACCGACAAATAATAATGTGATACAGATTATTAAAGCTACCTCCCTTCCCCTGAACTGCTTCACTTACATTGTCTGTTTGTCAACTCTGAATGAATAGATCTCTCTCTTACTTTTCAAGTGGGAAAAGGTGCATCTGATCTAGAACAGGGACATTTATCTGTAGAAAAAGGAGGTTTCTTGACCCCCCAAAATGGAAACAATCTTCATCCTCCTGCCTCCTCCTCCCCCACTGAGACATTCAGAACATATTCACTAATAAAAATAATGGAATACTTTAGATACAGATTCATTAACAAGTGAACCAAAGCAGTAATTGGGAGGCTCTGGTCTTGCAGTGTGATTTACATGCCAGACTTTGGAGCCATCCCATGTACAAAGGGCACGTGGCTCTCACAGTTTAGTTCAGTGCCTTGGTTGGTTAATACCTAATTGGAGATTGGCCCACTGTGCTGGCCAGCAGCACGTGTGATAGCCCAGGGAGTGTCTTGTTCCACTGAGGGTTTGACAATGTGCAATTGAGGTTGTAGGCAGTAGTGGTTCACTAATGATAGAAGGTATAAACAGATATTAACTCAGGACTTGAGACTTGCCAGGTGAACTGCTGTCTGGATTATAAGAGCTGAATCTATGTACAAGGGATGTTCTCTTAATTTGATAACGAGTTAAATATTTTCATTTGCACTGATGGGTACAGTTGGCAAGTACCAAATCTTCATCTGTTTATCTCCTGTGGCCTGTTCCACTGAGGGACTTCTCATTCCTCAGTAAATGTTCTCCCCTCCAGAGTGAAGCCGAAGAAGCTCAAAGTAGCCTTACGTTAACTAAGGGAGCATCTCTGAAGCCTGTGTTGCTTTGCAAAAAGCTACTGCATGGGTCAAAATGTGATATATGCAGTGAGGTTGCAGTCCTTTCTGGTGGTTTTGATTATTAGTTTAAGAAGTTATTTTTCAGACATAGGGGTTTTTTGAGTTTAATGACATAAATCTCATCAGATTTACAAGGTACTCATTAGAAAGATGGTAGCTTTAAAGGTGGTCTGCTCCCACAAATGACATGGCGTTGTTCCTACTAGATTGTGACTGATCTGCTGAAGCAAAGGAGAGAACAGGGTTACTATCTAGTTGTGCCAGCGATAGGGGAAAGCAGTGGGGGAGTGCAATGGTTTGGATTTCGGTTTGAGTTGATGTATCAGTTGCTTGGGTGCTTGTGGTTCTAACTGTGCTGTAATAAACTTGTTCAGGTTACTTAGAGGCATAGTTGGATATGGAGCTACAGGGACTCTTATTACACTTAATTTGCTCTTTTATTTCTTTTTCCGGGGGACAAAGATGTATTTAAGTGTCTGTTTTCTACTTGTTTCATGTGAACCACCATCTCCGCTTCTCGCAGTCCCTGTTGCTGTCTGTTTCCAAGAGGAAACTTCAGCTCTTGACAGTGCTTGCCTTTGAGATGTGCTGCACCCCATTTCAGGCTACACTTCCAGTATTCATGTTTCTCACAGGTCCTAGTTCCTTTATTTATTTTTCTGCGTTATCATTTCAGATACATGAAAACAAAAATTATCTGGTCTTCCTTGAAGACGTTTATGAGAAACTAAGGTCATTACAACCTGAAACTGCTGTCCTGCCCAAGTGACTAAAGCTAACCTTTACTCATCCAAATACAGATTGTGGTACCATGTTATATTTCAGATATTGGTAAAACAAATTAAAGTGTAGCTGCATCCACCAAAAAGGAAGCCAGTGTCTGAAATACAGCATATGGTTAGTTGTGACTTGGTTGAATTTTTCCTCGAATAAATAAGCCTTACATTCAGATAACCTAAGTTTGATATCACTTCTGATTGTGTTAATGGCTTCTGTGCTGCCTGTAGTTTTGCAGTTGCTTCTAAAATGTCAGTCCTCCTGTAAACTGTGATGGAGAAGCAAAGGCTCACCTGGGAAGAAGAGGGAGTAAGCAGATACTGAAGTGCTGCATAGATGTCAGCATTGCTGCTGATGGCTGACAGTAGCAGAGTTTCCCCCGTTCATTCGTTAATGGCACTCTGACCATATGTCTTCACAAACCTCAATAAATAAAATGGTTTGGTTTATAAGTTCATTTTCATGTGTAAAGAAAATGAATTCTTAAGCCAAACTTGACTTGAAAGGGCTTTTCCTCCAGTTTGTTATGGAATTAATTGAATATGACCTAACAAGTTTGGTTTTAAAAAGTTAGGTTTTGAGTCCTCAGAATATTTGTGTTAGGTATCTGGGTGCTAAACTAATTCCACAACTTCAGTTCAGTCTGAACAGTCAAACATGATGTGTTTTAGGTGAGAAGGGAGCTCTGATTTTTGCAGTCATTTCCAACAACTCAGATTTCAAATAACACTGCAGTACAGGAAAGAGCTGGCTATGCATTGAGGTTTTTAATGTTTAAAACCAGTATCTGTCTGAGCGTATCTAGATTACTCTGCTGATGAAAATGTGTAAAACCTTCAAGGGGTAGTCAAATGTTATCTGTGTCTAATTCACAGGTCCTGTGGTGACACTTCATAGCTTCTGAATAGAAAGAGACAAGGAAAATACCTGAGACAGAAGCTGTATTGGGGTTGAGAGTAGGCTACCAACGGTCTTATTTTAATGGGTGAACTAGGTGAACCTGAAATCTGTGAATTCTCCTGGCAGCAGAGAAACAGTGAGGACTTGATTGTATTTTTAATATCGCAGAATTCAGTATTTTTGTGTGTTCGTGTGAGAGTGCAGCATGTGTGCATGCTTATCCTATCTTAGTTATTTCCTAGCACTTGGCACATTTATATTTGTTCTCATCTTCTGGATGGAAGGATTCGGGAGGAGGTGGTGAAAAATTGATTAGAGGAATTTTTTTTTAACCCATACTTGCTACTGTGTAGCACACATTCAGAGCACATTGTAAACATGTTCTTTGCACTCCCAAAGGGATACAGATCTTTTCTCTATTAAAATCTGATTTACAGCACAGAAATCAGATAATGCTTTATCTGATTTGACTCACCTGGCTGCTTACTGGTAACAGTCCTCATGTCTAATAAATAAGTAATGAAAAATCCAATAACGCCAGAATTACCTGGCATTCTTCATTAGGTCCTAAGTGGTGCTTTCATGGAAAGTAAGTAAGAATGAAGGTAGAAATCAGCTGCAGTGCTCATGGAGGAAGAGGCTGGAAGATAATGGTAGGTTTTTCCCAAGAAATTATTTCTTTTCTAGGAAATTACTGGAGAAAATATTCTTGCCAACTAATTTACTCTTCATCCCTATGGCCCTTTGAGATGCTGTTTGTCATACCCATGCTGAAAATACCATCGTGTTTGTATAAACTGTGTGGGCATGTGATTGTGCTTTCCAGGTAATTTTCATGCAAATTTGCTTCTTTAGGCAGGGAGTTAAATTGCTGAAAAATGCTACCATTCAAAAGAGTGCCATTGTCATCACTTCAAAAGGCAATAGCAATAACAATGGGAGCAAGACCTTTCTCTAGCAACAGATCATCCACTGACTACTAGCTTCACAGGTAGATAAACAGGATTCAAAATCTTTTCAATGCTGTTTATATTGTTAGAATTGAAATGCTTGTGCTGTATTCTTTTCACTGCTTTGCTTCACTGGGGCTTTGTTGACATGTTATGAATGGAACAAAAAAGATTACAAAACCAGTAGGGTTTTATGCTTAGGAGAATTCAGTCTAAAAGATTAAAAGAGTCTTTAAAATAAAAGTCAGAAGTAAGGGACTGTTCTGGGAAAAGCTGTAAATGGAGATGGGCAGCTGTCTGTGTGCTAGTGAAGCTGTTTAGGTAAGCACTCTAATCTGTTTCATAACTGAAACAACTTACATGGCCCACTTTGCTGCCCAAGTTCATTCTGACCAAAGCAAACTGAGCATCACTTCCAGGAGCAGTTCTGTTTTCAGGGCTTCACAGCTGGATTCCCCTTTCCTCTGCTTTCTTCTCCTTCCCTCCATTCTCTTGTTCTTCACTGGTACAAGACGCCCAGTCCATCAGCCGGGATCAGTCTTCAGAGCTTCAGTGATGTATTTTTTTCCTTATTCATTACAGCTTTATGACCCTCGATAGAGCAGGGTGACAGAAATAATGCTGCTGTTCCTGAAGTGTTAGGTGCCTTTAACTTTTAGCAATCTATTTGCCTGTAGGAGTGCATGCTGCCTGCCTTCCAGGGTCACATAATGTATTACAAGGCGAGGCCCGCTGAAATACTTTTCCAATAAAGCAGATGTTCTGATGGTGGCAGCCTGGCATCCCACTGGTTTACTGCGAGTCAGCAAAAGCAACAGTGAGGGCATTGCTTATCATTGCATGAAATGATTTTGAACCAGAAAGACCATTTGGCATATGTTAAAGGACTGTTGACACAGAATTCAGTTGTGCTCAAGCCCTAAACCTGTATTTGTATTTATTCCTGAACAGCAGCTTCAAAACTCAGTCAGCCTTTGTGAAGAGTCTTGAAATGGGGATTTGAGGTCACATGTTCAGTCAATTTCCATGTATTTCAGTGGATGTTTGGAATTAGTAAAACATTTGCTTCCTGATCTCTAAAGCAAAGGTGGCAGGGTCCTGGCATTCAGTTTGGAAAGGCTGCTTTTTTAAGGTGATAAACAGAAATGCTCTTCCAGGTAA